GAACCCCTTTGCTTCTATCATCTGAACAGGTCCACATTCCTTCAAGAGGCAGATTCTTTCCATTCAAACAAGTCTGAATAAACTTGTGGAATGACCCCATAAAATAATCATGGTAAGTCATGGTAACTAAATTCTCTAGTTTCCATTTCTGAACAGATATTAGTGAGAATACAACAGCAGAGACAATTTCCATGGAGTACTTTGATTCTTCCTCTAGAATGTTGATATGCACTGGATTTTTCAAAGTACAAACACACATATAATCTGACACAAAAAATATTTAGGAATTATCAAAAGTAAGGGAGTTTACCAAAAAGCATTCAAGTAATCTTACAGTCAGTGGAAGCAGTTACAGAAGCTACTCCATATTCTTCGTCAGAATAGGAGATAGGAAGTGAGATTTATTTTTTTAAAACACTAAAAATTTTTCCACATCAAACTTTGATTTTATATTTAAAGCAATTGCATTTCTGAGAATTTACAAGAAACTGATAAAATATACATTTATTTCCTTATTATTACAGCTGTCCCTAATAATATGCTTTTTAAATACACTGTCTTTTTATAGTTTGTTCTTATAGTTCAAAACTTTAGAAGCATTTTAAAAGAACTTAAAAACATTTTAGCATGCAGAGCGCAGTGAACAAAGTGCATTGGTCCTCAAACTTTTTTGGATTACATTACCTTGTTTTTTTTAACATATGAACACACTTTTTATATCGGAAATGGACAGATACCTGGCAATCTATCAAGCAAGCATGTTTCTGCTCTAAGTCACACCTTGTAATAAGTAGAGAAGTAGTATAGTTTCCAAAGTTTAAAATTACTATCTGCAAATACTTGCAGCTTTGAAATTTCATCGAAGTCCTTTCTGTACTGCAATCATTGAACATACTTCTTTGTTAAGAACCTATTAACCAAATCCAAGCTTTCACTTAAGGAAAAAAAAGAAAAAAACATTTTAAATCTGTGAGTTAATATTGTTGTGTCTATTTCAAAAGCTTACTGCTTACTTAATCTTTTTTTTTTTTTTTTTAATTTTTTTTTTAATATGCAGCACTAATTTTGCAGTCTTCTACATGTTGCAAGAACTTCTTTCTACATTAACCTGGGAATTTTGGAATAAAAAGAAGATGATTTTACACTCAAGATACAAGGTTTTCAGTAGCAACAAGTAAAAAGAATTGCAGAGCTACAAATCCTTCTATGGCTGCATCTTTTTTCAACATCTGCCTTTGTAAACTGGAGAAATCAAACTGTCTGTAGGTTAGTTGGCAAAAACATCCATTAATATACAATAAAAGAATATGATCGCCATAAGCATTAGAACTATAGTTCAGCACACGTGCTCAGGACCTACCTGAGCAGCCCACATTGTGATGCAGACTGATACAACTACAATCCAATTGGCACTCATTTTCAGGACTAAGACATCTGCAAACCTGTAACTCACTCTGCTATATCTGATCAAGTTCAACATATCTGTTGGGATCTACCTCAGCATAGCTGCTACAAAAAAAAAAAAAAAAAGCTTATTTCACCACAAAAGCTACTGAAAGATCAAGGTCTGCCTGGCAAAGATATGCATTAATTTAACTTTTAAAGACAAACCCATGTGCCATGTGACCTTCTCCAATCAAGATCTGAAGGCAAGTAAACAAATTGTCAAAACAAAGAAAATAACACACTATTAACTCTCGGTAACATACTAACGTTAAGCATTAAAGCAAGTGATTAAATTAAAGATGATGACACTCATTTTCCTCAGTTTTGAATCAGTTTAAAATTCTGAATTCAAAATTACGTAACACTGAGTTCTCTTACTTCCAGTATCAACAAGCATGATTCAAGCTAAAAATGTTAACATAGAACAGCTTCTAAAAAGTTGGGATGGGATACAGACATTTATAAAATATTAAACTGCAAGTACATAAATCATCCTTTTCAACCAACTTGTTCTGTCCATTGGTTTTATCTGACTCTGATTTTATACTTTTAAGGACTAAATGCCATTCTAACCATTGTATCTAAAACCAGCTACATGCACATGCATGCACACAATGTCATTGCACACCTATGGTTGTGAAGCACAGTTACAGCTACATCACGTCAGCTGAGATGCAAAGTCAGGGATATGACTTTGATACATGATACATTTCCATAAAGATGTAGTCATAATTTAACTCCGAAGGTAGGTATAAGATACTTGGGGACAGAATGCTCACTTGTAATTCACATCAGCAAATATCTGAAATACAGATGTTTATCTTGATTAGACAATGGAGGAAATACTTTTGGATTTCCAATCAGTATTACAACCATAATCACAGACTGACTGACGCTCTTCCTTGGGTAATCCGAAGCCACCAAGATTAACTCATCTCTTTGCAAAGGTTTGGCCACCTACTCACACTGGACTTCACTGGGTTGGGATCTCAACAGTCTGTTTTAAAAATATTCTGCTATAAAAATAGCATCCACTCAAAATGACACATTATTCCTGACAGTATGAAGAACAACTTAGATAGACCTGGTCAAGCCGTCAGCATGGAAATTCAACCTCAGCTCTTGTCCTGTAAAAGACCATCCTACCACAACATCTTTCAAAGAAAAGACATGATAAATTACAAGCAGTCAAGTAGGTTTACACATCCATCTGCTTATTTCCATCACACCACCACCTTCTCATCCGAATTTCTGACAGGAGCAAAAAAAGCAGCATCATATCACTGTAAAATTTGACTTCCCTCTTCCTGTCTTGCCAAGATCTGCCAAATCCACTGTATGAGAATCACTAAGTAAAACTCTTGAGCATTCACAGCGTACCTGTTCAGCACAGTGCTTCTGAAATCACAAGTAAACAATCCAAATAAAATGGGTGAAAATATTAACATATTTAATGTTTTAGCTTAATATATTTAAAACTTGTTAATAAAAGCCTTATAGAATTCAAACGTGGGTAAACAAACACATCCAGATACTTCATCCTCCAAAGACAAAGAATCACAGAATAACTTGACAGAGACCTTAAGGATCATCCACTTCCAACCCCCCTGCCATGGGCAGGGCTGCCACCCAACTTATCAGGCTGCCCGTATGACCTTGAACACCTCCAGGCAGAAGGCATCCACAGCTTCTCTGGGAAACCTGTGCCAGTGCCTCACCACCGTGTGAGGAAAGAACTTCTTCCTTATATGTAATCTGAACTTTCCCTTTTTAAGTTTAAAGCTGTTACCCTTTGTCCTGCCATTACAATTTCTGATAAAGAGTCCTTCTCCAGCTTCCCTGTAGGCCCCCTTTTAGGCACTGGAAGAAGTCTTTGAAACACAGTGCAAACCTGTAAATTACAATAAGTTTTAAAATCAACTAGCAGACCAAAGCTGTCTAACAAACCTATATTAAGTATTCTAAAAGTTGTTATTGAGATATAAAGTACCCTTTCAGAAAAAATATTCAATATAGTAATTTTTGCATTATTTAACTTCTTTTGTATTGTTCTTAAAGTGTTTTATGAATTCCATAGTTCAATTATTCAAGATACTTCATAAATTATTAAGACAAACTTAAGTACAACACACAAATAACAATGCAACTTCTTCCACATGGGTGTACATGAGCTCCACCAACAGCAGGCGAGCCTTTCAAAACATTGAAAAAGGAGAAAAGAAAAACCAACACAGTATCTAAAATAATGCTCATTGTGTCTGAACACAGAGAAAGCAATCAATGCAGTTGGTCTGGATGGTACCACAAACCTTCAAGAAGCACAAGCATGAAACTCTTCATTCTGTTTTCTGATCAAACAACAAAATTATCTCTGTTCAGTCAATTAATTATTAACCAGGTATATCCACTGTATTAAAAAGTTACTAGAGCATGATTTGGGCAGGGGAGCACACAAATATACAAATCAAATTTTACAAGCAGTCACTGACTTCAAACTGGAGTTCCTTTGCAGTAGGTGCTGAAAGTAAGAATTTGTTTGTTTTTAATTTGTAGCTAGATTATTTAAGAGAATCTTACATGCCATGCAATAAGAAAGAATATAAAATAAACATTAAGGTTTCTTAAAAATAAAAAGAACTCACTACATGAGCTCTTGCTTTAAGAATTAACAGAAAAACTATTGCATGAATTACCAGTACAGTGAAGAGGTAGAAGAAAAAAAAAAATAGACAATTAGAATAGATATCTAACAAAAAGGAAGTCAGATAATATAGCTTTCAAAGGCAATCATTTTGCTGTACACTACATAGTGTGCATTACAAAATTCAAAACTTTAAGCTTAAATGATTCAAGTATGCACTACAAATATTATACAACTGTGTTAGTTATTCACACTTTGACAAACACTCCAATTCTATCTCACATTAAGGCTGAAATGGACTTTCTGTCCTGTTAGCCTTGCATATTTTCAACAGTGAAACACTGCCACCTTTTGGCTTGATACACAGACCTCCCCCTTACAATTTTGTTTTTGTTTGGATTTTTTTTGCTACATTTGTCCTTTATGAAGAAGGTTAAATTATCATGACCTTTTTTTTAAAATTTGGTTCAGTAGCAAGATTTCTCCAGGGGGAAAAAAAAAAAGAAAAAAAAAAAATACTTAACGTTAATTGGTAAGAAAACACTATTTTTCTCACAAGTATGACCACACTGCCAAACAACCTAAAAAATATATTCCATTTAGCCATATCTTTTCTCGATTTTTTTCCCTAGCATGACAGTTCTTTTTTCTTAGCAGTTTCTGCATTCAGATCACCTGTATCACACAGTATTTTAAACTGCACTCCTTTTGAGCAAAAAATTATTTTAAGTAATGCATTCTTTGACCATCTCCTGACTTTCGCAAAATCATTATAGGAATAACAACATGTTACTCAAGAAGGATGGGTTCCTTGCTCATACATATACCTACGGTATGTCAGAGATAAAATATTAAATACAAATTGTTCAATATTCATATGAAAATGTATTGAAATGTATGCAGGATTACTTACACCAATGACACAATGTCCCCACGTTGCACATCATAATTTCGAATGCTCCAATGGTTCAAGAGCACTACATCAGATGCTTGTCTTCCCCCAGGATTCAAGGAAGGCTTAGAAGGAGGAAAAGAACAGCTTTAGGTCAGCAATGCCTGTATGAACTCTACATCTAATTTGCATTCTATCAAAGGGTTAAATCCTGACGCTATAAAAATTAGTAAAAATATGCCCAATTACTTTAAAAGGATCAAGAATGTGTTTTATTATAGTAAATACATTTCTTTACTAAATGCTATATTGAATGTCATAATCTTATGGCAAACAGTAGTCCACATCTTTCAATGTATTGCTGCATGCAAATTAAATGACACAGGACGTGTATTTATGACACACTTCATGAAAAGTAGTGTTTGCCTTCACTGTCTATGATTTAAAAGATTACAAACAAAGGAAAACTAAGAACACAAACTCCCAAGAAATAGAAACTTTCTGTAGGCATATTAATGCTCAGACTAGCAAAATGCACCAAAAAATGAAATACGTAGTTGTAGCAACATTAATCTCCGTGCTCTTTGCAAAGGAAACAAAAAATACCTACAGCATACACTGACACTATTAGTAAATGTGGGCCTTCCACAACAGAATCGAGAGAAGCATGAACTTCCACACAAACATATAAAGAAGTACAACTACTGAACAAAAACCAACTGAATAAGTAGTTAGTAATTAGCACAGAGTATTAGAAGATAATCAGAACCATTAAAAAAATATTTTGTGTGCTGCAGTATAACATCATTGTATTTGCTTAACTCTGGTTCTGAGTTAACTCATCAAAAACTGTAGAGAAAGGAAGTAGCCATACTGTCTTCATCAATTCTGAAGGGATTATTTCAAGTGTTCCTACTACTAGACAGAAAGCATAGATATCCAGACTAGTTTTGTTGGCAACATATATCTCAATCAGATTTTTCAGACATTTCAAATAGAATCATGGTACACACTGGCCAGACGATGATCTCTAAATTAGACTCCACAATTAGATGAAATATTTAATAAGGTACATTACAATCCCGTGTACCACCAAATCTGATAAGAATACTGCAACTACACATCCTCTCATTCACTGACAGGAAAACAACGTTTGCCAAAACTGCATTTTTTGAAAATGAGGTTTTCAATGTTCACCTTGCAGTATAAAATGTTCCTCTACCTTTGCCACCAGGCACTGACTTCTGAGATTCCCAGATTGACCGTATTTTCAATGAGCAAACCAACCAGGGTACAGAACTGAAATTAACTTATGTCAACATATTTAATTACACAGTGTTGAATAAAACTGTGCTTCCAAACCAAGATGGATACTTAGCATTTTTTAATTAATTTTTAAGCTATTCAAAAGTGCTGATTTCTCTTTCTACCAACAGTTTCTGCTTTCTATTTTCTATTTTCCTTTTTCTTTTTTTTTTTTTTTTCTTTTTTTTTTTTTGCTAGCCAGATAGGTTGATAAAGACGTATTTCAAATGGGATATGGGAAAAATGGATTTTAATATGTAACAAAAAAGTAAATGTGCCTGTAATAGACACAAACACTATGTATCATGAGGATCAAAAGCACAAATTTGCCAGCAGTGGAAGGGAAATGATAGAATATCTTCAGCTAAACCATAAAGAAGATTAGTTACACCTTCACCTGTGGACTGCAGGGCAAGTTTCTAGTTGAATTAAGTCTGAGGATCAGAGCAGATCATATCCACATCCACAGAAAAATACTACAAATCTAAGCTGTAAGGACATCAACATTCTCCATTATTATATTTAGTTGAGTCTATCCATTGCAAGAGAAAGGCAAATGATAACCACAAACAGATACTGGGTTATTATTACTACAATCATGACTTTCCAAAATTGCTTTCCACTTTTATAGCACCTTTCATGAAATAATAGCACCTTTGCATACAAATTCACAACAATTCACAATCATACTTCACCAACGGAAGGCACACATGGTCTATAAGTTACTAATGGTATCAAAAGTTTGGCAAAGAGTCTAATCTGACGAAGTGGGAATTATACATGTGGTATATTCCCTTAAAATAAATTCCTTGGTACACACAGTATTTACCTTAAAGGGCTGAGAAAGAATGTGAAAGGAAATGGAAATTTTAAACAACTTGCTCCAAAATATAACGTTTTCAACAGCTGATAGATAGCAAAGATTCACATGAGTGTTTATAAATCCTTTCAAGTAGTTATATCAACTGCATCCTACAGAGGAATACAGCATTACAGTATTGCCCTAGCAGTGGTATGCCAATTGACTCGTACTGTTCTCTGTATTTAAACAAAGGAAACATTTTGCAGTTCAAATGTGCATCGCATCATCCTTTTAATTCAAACCACTCTAAATATAACATCATATTGCTTCCTATTTTAAACAATATGTTGCTCATGGTTTTGACTTACAGAGTGGATATCCCATCCCTTACTTATTAGAACTATGTTTGAGAGAAATATGACAATGCAGAGTAATTCATTTTCTTTCCTACAAAGCAATACTGACCTATTCAAAATGAAACCATAAAAATACAGAAACACTACTTTGGTAGATGAAGGTATGAAAGGAAAACTAAGAGACAACTTTCACTTTTTATTTACACTCTCCAGTATTTCTCTCTAATGTAAATACGAAGCGTGAGAGGTATCATTCTCTAATACTTATTAACTAAGGTCTAGCAAAACAAAAATATAACTTCTGAAGAAGTAATCAACAGGCTCACCAGGGCTCTTTACTTTTATAAGAAATAAAATAACAGAGGGGCTTCTTCTTTTCCATAGCTCAGAGCATTATAACATGTTTACCCAAGTTCTTGGTGTAAGAGCACGCAACAAATGAGACACATAGGTCTTAACTTAGAACTACGGCGCAGAAGTCACAAAACATTCACTCTTCCCAATTACCAGCTAATCTAATGCTAAAAGCATGCAAATCAAGATCCCCAGCCATACAGTGAAGCCTCATAGACACAAGGTTCTGTAAGTAACAGGGTAAAAGCATGCCCTTTTACAATAAATAATGATTAACTTGATAGTTGTTATGCTACTAGGGATTACAAGGTCACAACTTACTTGCTTTTAGCCTAGGGAATAGAAAAAATATTCACATAAGCTCACAGGCTTAGAGGTACAGTAATCCTAATAATAAAGTTAGGAGAAACTGCAACAGAATAATTACAGCTGCTATTATGCATAATGGAAGAATAGAATATTCAAGAGAATTTGCTCCTGAAACAAGCGTACTTTGTCAGAGATCACTGGTCAGGCTACTTGCTGTAATTCTTAGTATTGGAATTTTTGTGACACAACATATATATATGTATATATATATATATATATAAAGTTGCACATACGCCACCATTTTTCATCTCACTTGAAAACAGCCCATTTCATTTAATAAATTTGGGGATTCATACATCAATAAGAGTTTCCTTTTTCCATATCGTTATATAGGAAGAGCTTGTAATAATCAGAGAATCAATGCAACATAGGACAAGAAGGCATAAATGGAGATCAAGGAAGGATGTTCATATAATGACAAAAATCTTTAACTGCACATCCAGAATTACAAAAAGTCGTCCCAAAATATCCACAACATCAAATTAACAAATCATAATACAGTTATTTGTGTCACTTAAATTCAGTGCTGCAATTCACTTGAAACCCACTATTAAGAAAGAGCTAGATGAGCACAACAAGCTGCAAAATTCTAAGCAACCGAAAACATCTCAAGTGAGAATTAAAAGAAAACCAGCAGTTTTGGAAAGAAAATAACAGGCAATAAAGCAATGAAAAACGTTGAAATTACAAGTTTCAATCACTGTTTTTCCCTATACATTAGAATTAATACTCATATACAGTTAAGTCCACTCTAGTGATAGAATTATGTCAGGTGGCTAAAAGCACTCCAGAACGACAGATCAGCTTGAGAAAATGAAATGTCTAGTCCACCTTAAGTGTTTGGGAATAAATCATAAAACATATATACTTCCAATAGAACCTTTACGCAGAATGCTTGCCAAGGTGTCAAGAAGTACCACCACCTTCAGGAACTATGAAGCAGCAATATGGCTGCTTCAGAAAGGGGACAGAGTGAAAGAAAGGGAAAGAGCGATTTATTCCTTGCTTCTTATCACAGCTTTTAATTTCAGACTCAGCAGGAGCCACAATGGTAAGCACACAAAGTCAGCTAGACATTCGAGAGGACTATTACAAATCAAATTATTGGAAATCATACCACAATATCTTCACAATGAGACAATACAATATCATTAGAAGAATGCATGTGATGGATATACGACTACATGCTGACTGGGCTTCACTCTCCCTCACACTCATAGCTTTCAGGCGCATTCAATATAGATCACTCTTCAGGGAACACAGTAAATAGATAGAATTTCAAAGTGATGACGTACTCCTTCAAGCAATTCTGCAAAAGAGGGTTATGTTCCTTATAATTATATCCTGTCAGACTTACTTAAGTGTCTAATAAATCTTGGCAAGGAAATTAGCATTTTATTAAAAGCACTAGGATGGGTGCTTTTTTTTTTTTTTTTTTTTTAAATGGAAAACATCCATGCACAAAGAAGCATGTTAGATTAAAATAAACTTCTACTTCAGTGCTGCAGTCCAGAATAAAATGAGAGAGAATTCTTCAGACACTGAAAATTCATTAAAATTAGTAATATTCTACATTAACCATACTTCAAAAGAGGAAATGTTTAGTCAAGATATATCGAAGGAAGAGCTTAGATTTTAATCACCCTCTGAATACATACTACTTTCCTCAGCCATCAGGAAGACTGTTTATCCTTTTTTAAGTTGGATAAGCAAATAACTACAATGTTTTTCACATCTCTTATGGATAAAGAACAGTTAACCACATGCTCTTCCATGTGAGTATAGAAACAACACTCCAGAGCAATACCAGATGACCCTCTAGCATTTAAAACTTTGGCTTCAAAGGAAACATAAAACTGAGATCTCAACCAGAGTCAGTCAATAAACTTTTGGACTAGAGAAATCTTGAAAAAAATCTTTAGAGCTATTGAGTTAAAACCAACCCAATAATATTTTATTTTCTGTCCATTCTTATGTCAGAGACAGAAAAAAACAAAGAAAGGCAATTGAAAAAAGAATATGAAACTGTTTTTCCTGGTTTCCTATTCCTCTTCTCCTTTCCGGGGCAAATTTCTGGCTCTGCTTCTGTAATATCTTCTGAGATTCTCCTACTCTTGATTGGTCATCAATGATAAACAGGTAATACTTACGAAAAGGGAAAGCATAATGTATGTTACACCTTAGTTCTGTTCTTAGACTGTAGAATTACTGGACTATGATGATTTTACTTTGGCCTTGAGACTACCTGGGGTTTCTTGACAGAAGCTGAACATCAGACTACAGACTACTACAAAAGATTCTATGCCCACTCCATGCTTTTCTAAGATATTAAACACATGAGCAACCCCAAGCCCTAGACCAAGTTCTCTCTGAGTGAATGCTACACATTTCAAACTTCAGCAACTGTTCTGAATTGTTATCAAATCTGTCTTTAAGGTTTTGAGCTTATCCAGAAAATCAGAAAAAAAAAGGCTTAGCATCTGCTAAATAAATCCTTAGTTTCTACTAGTTGTAATATTATGTAATTAACATTAACTAAAAAGAAATAAAGCCTCTTTATGAGTTATCAAGGTAGTTCATCGAGACAAAGAGTAATGCTCAAAAAAAGAAATCTTGATTTCTATATGACTAGGAAGATATTAAAAATGTTTTCTTTACCACTATCTATTTATTTTGCTTTTACTGACACTGAATTTTGGGAAGTTTTATTCTCAAAATGTTTTCACATTATAAAAGTGTTTGTGTAACAAAGAAGAAGCTAAGCAATTCTCTACTATAATTACAGTTGTTTGACACCAATTGAGAAAGCAAGATGCAAAGAAATCTACTATCAGTGGACAGTGAGTTTATAATTTCCAGACAGGAGACATTTCCAACAATACCTGCATTGATGCTCCTTCCACTCTGGCTACACAGGCAACTCTATCCAGGAAGGTCACAGTTACAGGAACAGCAACAAAGAAACCTTTGAAGAAGGCTTTAAGGTATCTTCTCCCAAAACCTTGAGCCTGTGCCATAATCTGAAAAAGATTAAGGGCGGAAAAAAGTTATTATAAAACAATATTTAAGTAAGTGTTGTCTGTATTCATGGAGTGAGGAGGAGTTAAGTTATTAACTCTTCAGGTCTCCCAGTATCCACAGTGAGAAAATGAACGTGTACATGAGAATGAACAAGAACAGCAATCTACATTAAAAAAAAATTCAAAAACGAAAGTCAACCATACAGAAGCAAATTTGATACTCAACATTTTCTTTTTATATAATTTGACCATTTCTTGTGACCCTCTGCTAGCAGAAGTGCTCGATAAAAATGACTCAATGATAGCAGTTCAGCTAAGCAAGAAGCAAACTGACAGAATCACAAGAAATTTAACTATGCATTTCTGAAAAAAATATTAGCTATATGGAAACAATCACAAAACAGTCAATTGGAGTGCAAATTTCTGTAAATTTTCTCTCCATACACTGGTAATTACACATTCATGAACCACAAAGATTGACTGCATTATGTAAAGGAAAAGCTGAGAGTTTCCAACACAAGGGCATTTCTTTATTAAAACGTTCCATACACACAAGTCATGTATCATTTATACATTGATGGTAACTGCAAACATTTAATATCAATTCAAATTGTCACACATTTTACAGGGATACACAGTAACATAATGACACCTTATTTTCTACTACATAAAGAAGTTAAAAGTATAGTGATAGACTACATAGCTATGACATAACGACACCTTACTATTCACGTCGCCATGCATTATGCTATTGGTTTTACTTAGCCCTGAACCAAAGAACATTCTTGAAAAAACAGCTCCAAAGTACACTGAAATAAAAAAGTTGCTTGATCAAGCAAGGTGAGTACTGAGGCAGTGCTGGAAAGGTACAAGCCTACTTTTCTTTATTGCAATTGCATTCATCCCCTGACAGTTACTGAGCATTTTTGGCTCAGACTGCAGCAGACCCTCCAAGATACCCTTCACGTGGGTTGGTGATGACCTGGGAGGACTTTTAAAGGAAATGATCAGTACAAAGATGAGCTCCCCTGAGCAATTTACGAAGTGGTCAAATTGGAAATGAATTGGGCTGTTTCTAAGATTTTACTAATTGATGTGATATTTTAATTAATTAACCCCTCCATACAAGACAAGGCTGTGACAGACACCAGTGTTGGGGTATGAAAGCCATGCGGGTAGGCAATGCCTGAACGATAAGGCACAGAAACGTGCTTCAGCAGCTCTGAAAGTTCAATTTAATAAACTTATTTTATCAGAAAGACAAGATTCCTCAGTGCTGTATCGTAAGAAATACAGTTCTTCACCTATTGGCAAATCCAATTTAAACCTTTGTTTCTCTCTAATGAATACCTGGTATAGACTGTAAAAGATCAGTTTGCAGAGCCCCTGCTCCCTCTATCACATCATAAATCTGAGAGACAGTAATAGAAGAAAACAGACTGTGCCCTGAACTTCTGAGTCCTTCACTATGTTTAAATTCAAGGGCAACAAAAAAAAAAAAAAAAAACAGAAATATACATAATTTGGTTCAATCATCTTAACAGAACATTAAGAATTTCACAATATAATCATTTTTTCTCTGCTGCACTTTCAGAAATACGGAGGTAATTCATTATTTGTATGCAAGGTACAAACCTCAAATTATTCTGGTGAAATACTACTGAAAGCAGTATTTCTGCCACAGATATGGCTACTTAACTCTACAAAGCATTACACTTTGGAAAGCCAGTTGTACAAAATAACGCATCAGCATATTCCTCACTTGAATTCTTTATAGACACTAATAGCTTTGCAATGACAAGATCTGTCTTCTAAAAGACTGGAACACCCTTAGTATTATTACTGACATTCACCTTCACAACATTTGAAGTTCTTTTTTTTTTTTTTTTTAAAAAAAAAAAAAAAAAAAAAAAAAAAAAAGCTGGAAGTATTTCACAATCACCTATAACTTTTGCTAACAGAAGCTGAACTGTGGCAAAAGAGCTCTGAGCTCCCTTACACGTGCGGCAAGTGAGGTGCAGACTCCCTTGCTGATGCAGAACAAAGGACCTTTATTGTAGGTGCTTACAACCTTTTATACTCACACAACAACTGGTCAGATGTAGGATCCAGGTGCCTTGTGTGTGTTTACATCTGGCTCAAGTTACTGCTGAGCTTTTTTACTCATTAGCAGATAACGACTTTCTTTGTTCCACATCTCCCCCTTCTCTATTAATAAAAAAAGCAGCAGGTTCAGAAACATTCCTAAAACTAGCTGAACTAAAATTAACACACTGAATAAACAATGGGTTCTTTATAGAGTACAGACAATAGTCCATTTCAACCAATCCCAACGATTCCAATTCTTATGACTCCTTGGTGATGCAGTCCACAAGTGAAGTGTGTTTTGTCCCATCTTGTTGGTGAGAATCCAAACCACTGATGAAAGTGCTGTGATCATGTTACAGCAGATGATGAGATGGATGGCCAGACCCATTCTGCTGGTATCCATCTAGGACCTGTTCCTGTTAAGGCACAAGCGTAGCCTCGGCCCCACATTATCACTGTCTATCGATTTAGAAAATTAAGAACAAAGCACGCTTTAGCTACTCCTTCCTGAAGGGTCATACCTGCACTCCCCTTTTTTTGTTGTTTTTGGTTGGTTGGTTTTTTTTGGGTTTTTTTGGGTTTTTTTTTTTGTGTGTGTGTGTGTGTGTTATTTTGTAGGGATTTTTTTTTTTTTTCTTTTTTTTTTTAAATCACTAAATTACATAGTCAGAACTACAATTCAGAAAACCAGGCAGGTGCAGGTTAAGACATACAGTTGTAAATACCCACATTACATTCTTAAACACCAGAAGATATTCAGCCAGTTGAGTTGGATTCTACAACCAAATCTGAGATTATTTGAAAATGAGAAAGCTTCCTACACTGCTAATCTACTGCACAATGAATGCACATCATTTTATAGCAAATACCGTTTTCTAATTTAGAATACAGATATAGCACACCTTTCAAATACACTTTCAATGGTGTTAGGCCTACCTTAGAATTTTCTGGAGCACTGAACAACAGCTACAGCAGCTGAAAGGTTCAAAAAATACACTGCAACAGTGGCAACAGCTGGAATTAGTGCATGTCCAAACACAAGCATTCGCAGCTCCTGCTTCCACACACTGATGAGCACCAAGGCTGAAAATTTTATCCTCCTTCTCTTGCGTTTGTGAACGAGCCATAGGCCCAGAGTCTGCAAGCTTTGCTTCGAGTTGCTGAGGTCCAATAGCACCCACTACAGCACATTTGTTGTACAAATTCCTTCCAAATAGGATTCTTTAGAGCAAGCAGCACCTCATAGCAGACAGCATTCCCATTTTCAATCCCTGCTTTCTCCAGAGAAGGGCAATCAGCTGGGGACAGTAAGACTTCTCTCAATCTTCCGATACATTCAGCAGGACAGGGCCTCTTTCAGCCCATTTCTACTGTAGGACTGTGTTCAGCTCCCTCTTTTTTCTAGAGCTTCTTCCAGCTCTTTCTTTTGCTAGAGCTTCTTTCAGCTTTCTTTTTCGCTAGAACTTTGCATTTCTAGTTGCAGTGTAATTGCCAGGTCACAGCCTGAACCAATGGCTAGGCACCAGGTGAGAAGGTTTGGCTAACCCATGGAGCTCAAATGCACTTAACATACCTGAGTGACCTGAAGGAGTGGAGCCAGGATCCACACATTTTCACCCTCATTAAGAGATGCTGCCAAAAGAGCACCATCTCTCTAGATAGTGACTCTACTCCTTCCTCTTGAGCTGTCAGTGGTTGTTGGAAGGAGTGAGGCAATTCTCCTTCTCTGTTACCTGCTGTTCTGTATTGCCCGAATCCCATTATAAGGCACTCTCATAGTCTTCTTTTTGCTGTCAGCCAGTTTTCTGGATGGAATTTACTCCAGGGGCATGAGGTCTGGCCTCACAAACCTCATCCACTCTTGCAGCAACAGCAGCCACAAAACACTGTACTTTGGCCATCCCCACAAGCATTTCCACAACTTTCTATGAACAGTTCCTCCTTGAGGTGAAAGACATAATATGATAGATCTATCAGATACAACTGGCCTGAGAAACTTTTTGAGAACTTTAAGAAATGGATACATTTGCCTACTTGTTAAATTCCTCACAGTCCAGCCTATTTTTCATTAAAATATGAATGTTAACCCCATTTCTTCTACTAAATCTATTCAAAGATCTTGTTATAAACTTCTTGCAAAAGACCCAAGCTACCATCTATAGGAAAATCTAGCACCTGAAGAAAAACAATTTGTCAGAGAATCCATGGGAAAGCTAACACATGTTCTTGGAACTAGAAACTTATAGTGACAAAGAATCCAGCAGCCAGATTTAAAACAGCAAGATAAAACACAGCATTCCCACTACATCACTTGGAAACTGGAGAGGTATTAAGCAGCTGTGGACAAAGCTGAGATTTCAGGACCTTTATAATATTTACAAGGTGCAGCAAAACACCAACAGCAACTGTACGAGCAATTGATTTTCAAAGCCAAGAAGAATCATAGAATTGCTCAGCTTGGAAAGGACTTCAAAGATCATCAAGTACAACCACAATCTAACCATACTACCCTAACTCTAACAACCCTGGTGGACGACAGGTTGGCCATGAGCCAGCAGTGTGCCCTCGTGGCCAAAAAGGCCAATGGCATTCTGGGGTGCATTAAAAAGAGCGTGGCCAGCAGGTCAAGGGGTAGATCTATTCTGCCCTGGTGAGGCCTCATCTGGAGTACTGCATCCAGTTCTGGGCTCCCCAGTGCAAAAAAGACAGGGATCTCTTGGAAAGAGTCCAGCGGAGGGCCACAAAGATGGTGAAGGGCCTGGAGCATCTCTCCTATGAAGAAAGGCTGAGTGAACTGGGTCTGTTCAGCCTTGAGAAAAGACGACTGAGAGGGCATCTAATCTAGGTTTATAAATATGTGAGGTGTGGGGGCCATAGTGGTGAGGCTGGACTCTTTTCAGTGGTGAGTGGAG